ATGAAAATTTAGTACAGAACTCTCGCTACTACTGCAACTAATATTATGTGTTTAATAAGCCCTCTTCAAGAACTTGGTATTCATGTATCAGCACCTACTTTGTTGATCGGTAACAATATCCCTGTTTTGGTCCAGCAAACAAGCTGGTGTTTCATTATCAAACTAAGCATATTTCCATTGATTTTTCATTCCATTCAAGATTCCATCAAGTCAAATGATATTATTGTTCATCACATTAACTCACAAAACCAGAATGACGATACTTTCACCAAATCACTTTCCATTTCTCTTTTCCAACATTTTCGCAACAGGCTTGCAGTCCAGGGTTGGCCTATCAGCTTGAGGGGAGGTGACAAGTATATAAAAGGCGTTGTAGTGGAAGAAGATGCTATAGTACATAAAACGAAGGAAGATTTACATGCATACTACTCAATTCCTGTAGATTTACATATCTAACACTTAAACTTCAATTTTTACATACAAGTCACCTTGAAAAGGTGTATTTCAATTTTAAAGATTAAAATGGTGGCTTTTTTTTATGTAATATGAAAGATTTGGATGGTATAAATGTAGAAAAGCATAAGTTCAGATGCTAGCTAGATTTGTAAATACATTGCAATTTGGTGATATGCATGTATTACAGATTCAGATATTTCTCCTTTTATAACGTCTGTTCTTCTGCCAAGTTCGATACTTTTAGCTTATCGTTCAAAGGAGGTTTCTGTTGTTTTTAAAAATAATTTTTTTGGTGAATGTAACAATTATTTCTTTTATGGCATTAAATATTTGCAGATTTTGCCCGCCTGTTGAGTTAACAGAGCAACCACAGCTTGAAAAACATAGTTAAGAGTCGGCAACTGAATTCATTCGTATTTGATAATTGCCGCATCATTAAATTAAAAATCTAATATTACATCATAATGACATCGGGGGACAAATGAAAGAATTCCAATTGCATCCTCAACCAGCAACACGATGACGAGCCTGTCATCTACAATACTAATGACAACATTCGAGCTTGTAATTAAATGTTTATGTAAAATTGAGCGGCATAATCTTTAGGAGGGTAGAATTATATGAAGTTGGGGCTCTAACAATCTTAATTAATAGGAGTAATTACAGCATAACAAGTAGCGCAATGAATGCAAATTAGAAAAAAGTATTAAATTAATCCCTTTTAAATTAGTCATTTTAAAAACGCACCTTAAATTATGTTTGGCTCTTCTTCATTGTACAAAATCATTAATCATTAATTATATATCAAAACTCATTGTAATATCAAATAAGGAGTATTCATGTCTTGAATATGTGTATCCTATTTTTCAAGAAATAATTGTATCATATGAATTAATGGATATCATCTTGTTTCTCTTAAAATTTGAAAAAAAAAAATAGTTTTAATTTTTGATAGTAAATTCATTGCATTCAAGATACTTTATAATTTTCTTTGGAAAGCTTGGCAAAGATCATCCATAATTTTTAAACTTCCTATCATGTTTAAGATGCAACAAGAAAATAAAATTAAAAGAGATCGTTGCATCATAAGCCCAATCAACTTCACTTCTTTGACTTGATATTTTTTTTCCTTAAATAGCTTCTTCTAAAATAACATGGGTGGCATCATACATCTTAATGGATTTTCTCAAAGAACTCAAATATGAGGCATAATGCATATCAACTAGTTGTTTTAATGTATTAAGTTGAGTTAATCCATTACCATTATCTAATTCATTAAGTTTAATCATTTTTACAATTTCAGTTATCTGAACAATTTTCAACTTATATTATGTCTTACAAGTTAAAAAAAAAAAACTAAATTAATCATAATCTTCAAATATGTGAATAATTAACAAACTGAAATAACATCCAATATCAATATATTATACGTGCAAAATAGTCAGCATAATATTCAAAATGATATATAATCATTATTAAACAAAACTTGCGACATATTTTATTCACCTTGCATATTGTTTATATTATCATATGATTGATCTCAATTGTTTTGAATATCAAGACTATTACAGGAAAGACTCACGATTTTTTCATCAAATTTGATTCAGTTATGTTTTCAACATGAGTTATATACAAGAATAGTTCTATGAAATTTTTTTTTTATTAATAAATCTTAACACAAATATCATTTACTCTCATTTTGATTTATCTCGAGTTTCATCATATGAAACCCATTAAGTAGGATGAAGCTGAACTCTTAAACATCGAGGCAACTTTTTGTGGAACAATAGAATTTCATTAGAAACTTCAAAGCTGAGTGTGCTCTCATGGGAGCACTCCCAAGTTTGATGGGAGAGAGTTCGAGCCATCACAATTAGTATGAGAGCGTGATACTGGCGGGAAGCTAAGAATTAAGTGTCATACAAAACAAAATACTACGCCATGACAGACACCTCTTGAACCTTAGATGATACAAGCACTTACATCCATGGCGAGAGCCACCACTAGAATTTGTGCAGGCCACTTCTAGAATCTAATATGTCTAGTGGATGATTCTGGGATACGAGAACTAACGAGAATATCAGTTACTTAAGTGGAGGTGATTATGAAAACCTATAAGGAGAATGAAGTTAGAACTAGAATCTAATATGTCTAGTGGATGATTCTGGGATACGAGAACGAACGAGAATATTAGTTACTTAAGTGGAGGAGATTATGAAAACCTATAAGGAGAATGAAGTTAGAACTCCTAAACATTGAGGCTCCTTATGGTGTAATGGTGACATTTCATTAGAAACCCCAAAGTTAGGCATACTCTTATGAGAGCACTACTAGGAGGAGTGACCTTCTGGGATGTTACACATGAATTGTGGATTTCAACTTGTATAAATTTTTAAAATTTATTGGAGTTCGGGCTGTCACACATTAATTTCAACATAATATTTTGAATAGTCGATTTCAACTTGTATAAATTTGTGAATCTTATCTGAAAATATAGATAAAATATTTTTTGTATATGAGATGTAGGAAAAAGATTTGGAGAAACATTTTATAACACTATTCAATTAATGAAATAATTATAATCATTCTGATAAATTATTTTAATTAATTATAAATATGCTATAAATTTAAAATATATTAATTCTTAAATTATAATTATTAAGCATTTAAATTTATAGGAGGTAAAATTTTTAGTATATTATATAATTATAAAGAGTTAGCAAAAAGCTAGGAGGACAATTGCCTCTCCCACACCCCATAACACCCCAATGATACAGAATGAGAGAAAAGAATTGCCCTCAACTCTTAAATTATTCATTAACATATAAAGACATTTCAAAAATAAAGCCATAAACAAGAACGCCACGTTCATGACTCGTTTTATTATTAACTTCATCAACTATATGTATGACACTAGAATATGGAGATCATGTACTAAGGATTGGATGAGGTGTGAGTTTCCCAAATAGCATTGTTGTGGTTGTCGTAGATGACAACATTGTGGTCTGCCTGTAATATAAGACGATATTTTTTCCATGTCTTCTTACCAGTCTGACTAGACCAGAGCGCAACTCCAATACTATTATATATGCAGAGGTTGCCATCATGTTGTAGCTTCAAGCCGCAGCCGACATCCATTCCTTCAGTCCACGTCCACCAAATTTTTTGCTTATTGGAGTTGCGGAGGACAAGGCTACAGTCTCTTTCCATGGTGAATGTGTAGCCAGCTCGCTCTAGAGACTTCCCCGACCTTAGCCATTCGCCGGATTTCAAACTGCGGCGACAGGACGCCGGTGTAGCCCGGAGGATCAACAAGGCTATCGTGGATAGCAGGAGAATTGTGAACCAGTTCACGGGGGAGGAGGCCATGGTAGATGCTTGGGAATTAGTAGTTTGGGCTGTAATAGCTTGCATGCCTTTCATTAAGCTTCTTATCTATGCTTATATATACGTCCTAGGTTGATGTGACAATTATTATATATTGAAGTTCAGGCGTCTCAAATTGGAGAAAACATCATGTACAGAATTTGAACGCATCCAAATATTGTGCGCTGTTATATAATATGTGCACGGAGTTCACGAGCAAACAGACTCTATTGTTGTTTGTTTAGAATAAAGAGACGTCATAACAAACAAAACAAATGCATATGCTGCTAGAAGTTCTCTGTTTTTTTAGTTGAATGACAGCAACCAAACAAAAACAAACTTTTCTAAGAGACCATTAATTGCGTGAAGGAAGGGAAATTTACAAACATAGTGCAAATTTTTAATGCATTTATTTATCTGATCACACCTAATTAAAATTTTATATTTACTTATATAGCGTTTTGATATTTTGTATCTATACAAGAAAATATATAGAATTCACTTTTAAAATGTGATAGTAGATTGGTAGTGTGTTCTTTTTATGTGATTACTTGTAAATATGAAAGTTTAACAGTGCGAAGGTAAATACATATGAATTATGTGTTGTGTAAATGCACTTTGCATGAATGAAAGGGCATTACATACGTGACATATAATTCTTAAGTATTTAGATATCTAACATCGATGCATTCATATTTACATGCATATATACCATATAAATCTTTAACATCATATTAAAAACATTATTTTTATTATCAATTTTAAAGTGAAATATAACTTTTTTATCCATATGTTTATGAAACCATAGATGTTATAAGTATAAATATTAAATTTTAGGTGTCGGATATGTATGTGAATATACTCACATACATATATGTAAGATTATCCAATGCCCCCATTCCAACAACCTTATAATCAAACTGACCAGCACGACAAGACGAGCACAATGAAACAAAAATTGATTTGATCCAAGTCCAAACGAATATTTGAATGATAAACTTCTACTTTCAACTCGGCATCATCTAAAATCAATGAAGATGAATCGTTGATACACCTTGATAAGGTTCAAGAGGGCAAAATCAAGTACGAATAATTATAACAGTATATTTCACATGATTATTCTAATTTGATTACAATTATTAAAAATTAAAATTATTAGTCACAAAAAATTTCTCACAAATAAACATAAAAAATAAGTAGAAAATGGATTTTGAGGGGTACAACTGAAAGAAAAAAAAAACCAAAAAATGCAAATAACTTAATTTCACGAAAAGCAAGACAGATAGTCTTACAGACATGAAGGGGTGCATGTTAGGATGAATAGCCCATATTCTCTGATAGGAATCAAGTTGTATACTCAGCATTTATTTTGATATAATCATAACTTAGATCACATCCCCAGGCTTTTCCACACCCACTTCCATTGCCTAATATCAAAAGATAAAGGAATTGTAGCTTTAAGATTTGCAGCAAGTGGAAAAGAATAAAAGTGCAAAAACAATTTTTTATTATTATTATGGAATACAGTTTTGAGGGCTTGCCTATAGATATGTGGATCTCTACGGTGCCGTGAGACTCTCCGACCTGTTTGAGATAAGTGCTGGCTTCAACCCTGCAAACAAACATTTAAATCAGACTTAAAGCATCCATTTGGTGATTGTTAAACTGTGACAAGGAAAAAACTTCTCAGAAAGATGTGGTAAGAATTATAAATAAAAAAAAAATATATATATATATATATATATATATATCTATATATATTTCATATAAAGAGCCATACAACAGTTTTCCTCATTAGCCGCCGCACTTTAAAGGATTTGATTTCAAAAAAAGCCTTTCCACCGCAAATATTTCTAGAATATATCAATAAAGCGGTTCCTCATATAGAACTCTAGTGGCGGTCTGAAATGCAAAGTAGGCAAATTTGCTCAAAAAAAAAAACTTACTTTGACAAGCTACAATGCAATTATATCAACATAAGAGTACAAATTTTGCTTGATTTTTATGATGCGTGTCATAAAAACGTTAAGTGAGCAAGTGTGATTTGTAGTAAAAATTTCTTACAAATTCGCAACTAAAGAAAAACTCTCCCTCTATACACACACACACACACACACACACATACATATATTAATCCAACACATTAGCAAAAACTAATGAATTAATTGTCTCACAACCCAAATCATAAATTAGGGTGATAATTTGGTGCTTGATGCTTGCATGCCATTTTAAGAATGCTTTAATTCCATTGCAAGTTCTTCAAAGAGTGGTTTTTGATCTCATAAGAAATGATTTGTGATTTTCATGGCAACAAAATTTAATTTGGAATGTGGATATAGCTATTGTTCATGAATGTTAGAGCACCTCGACATGTTTGATTGATCCAAGAGGATCTCAACATCATTGAATTTTAAGGATTTTCTGAAATCTTCTGAAATATTCTAAAAACTTTTAGATAATTCTAAAGATTTTCAAATTGTTCCCCTCCACATCAAGTTGATTAAATCAAACCCCAATCCATAAAATAAAGTTTGGCCACCAAAACAAAAGGAATTTAATTTGGTTTATTTCCTAAAATGCACAAAAATGTCTACTCATAAGGAATTTCAGACAAATACCTCACCCAACAGTTCTCTCAACAATTTTACTTCCTTGGCCCCAAAGCATCCTCATCCAAAACATCATTGAAAATTCAAAATAGCCATCTTTTTCTATGAAAAGAGGAGATTTATAACAGTTAACAATAAGATGCAAAGTATCGCGTAATCTAAACAAACAAATATTAAAAGTGTTATGAAGCCTGGAATCTTATTGCAAGGATCAATTTGAAATTTCGTAGGGAATAGAGTGAAGGGCTTTTAAAAACATAAGCCAACCCAAACTATACCCTATGAATCAAGAAGTTTAGGGACCCCCTCACGCTCGATGCTTGTTGGATACCACCACATCAATTGATCACCAACAAACCACAATCAGACCATTATCAGATCACCATTAGTTGGATTGTCACTAGATCAATTTTAGCTGTTAATCTATTGGATCACCAAAAAACCAACATTGGTTTTCAAGCATTCTTGGATGACCATCATATCATCTATATCGATCATTCATGTCCATATTCGAACCACCATCAATCACTATTGAGCCATAGCTTTGATTGTCAAATTACCATCCAATGCCAAACCATCATTCAATGGCATATGGTTCTAAACAAACCAACATTTTACTCATATTGGACTAATTATAATACTAGAATCAATGATAGTGATCATGAAAAATTTGAGAAAAAACTTTTTTTCAATTATTTTTTTCCTAACTTTTAATTAAAATAGCAATTGATGGCCGATTAATTGAGGTTGACAGAGTCATATTTTGGGAGGAAGAAAAAGATTAGGATGGTGTACACACAAATGAGAATGATTAGGTTAAAAACCACTTAAAATGTATCAAACTCCTAAAAGTAGAAATGATGGTAGTCGTGGTGGTGGAAGAAGCTAATCATGATGCATTTGAATAATCACAAGTCCAGTAACTATGCAACTTCTGACAATTTGTATTTCAATGTACCAAACAAAATAGTGCCTACCTATGAAGCACGGAAAATCCCAAAAAGGCTCCTGTGTCCGCACCAGACACAAACATAGCTCCAACACTTTAAAAATTGTGCTGGAATTTCATTCTATAAATTTAGGCTCCGGCAAGCCAAGGACATACAAGAGACAACTTAGGAAGCAGGACATGGACTGAGGATAGCAGTGGAGCCAAAAAATTAAATGCTAGCTTCAAATTATAAAATAAATAATAAAGATGCCCTAACCCATAACTCACATCGAGCCACCAAAGAGGACAAGGGAGCCGAAGCTCATCTCAAAGATATGAAGATAAGGAAGCGAGGCAGGAAAGGGATAGTTTCATGCCTAACCTCATTCTTTCTTCATTCCTCCTCACATTGAGACGATGAATATGAGAAGGAAGAATGTAGGATCATTCAAATATACAACTAAGATAATGAGGGTGTGGACGAAGATGATAAAAGAAAATGAAGCCAGAACATGCACACTTCAAGCTCTCATGAAACCACATCCTATGCCCCGTGTGCGTATGTATAGACTTGTGCTAGAAAGTTGATCAATTGATTCTGAGTTTCGTATTATAATATTTTCTTGTATATTTCTGTTGACCTCATTTTTGATGAGGTCCAGTATTCCTCTTAGGATTTAGGCTCTAGCATTCGGGATCTCCCTTTGACTATTTTAGAACATTAGAAATGGGACCTGCCTTATTTTAGAAATTCAACCCACTTCTATACTCTTTTGTGGTTTCGCGTGTGTGGTATCGACTTCTAGCACTTAGAAGGATGAAACCAACATGAGGAAACCCAAAAGGTATTATAGGACCTTTTTGAGCCTTAGGGTGGCCTTCTGCACAATTCGCACTCCCGCGCGCACAAATTTCGCAATTCGGAGAGTCGACACGTCTGATCGCCACAATTCACATCGCTTGCACTGTTACATGTCGAAGGCTCGAATAAACTTTTTGAGACGATCGATCGCGGGTAGAAATTTTGTGAAATTTGAATTTTGACGCTTTTTTCACCAGATTGTCGACGACGTCGTCCGAGCGACCCCGGATGACAAAACGAACTGCACCGGCGCGTCCAGAACGTCGATTTTGCCTAGGGAGGACACCCATTTTGTTACGTCACCGCGCGTGAATAAGTCACATATGATTTAACACACACACACACACACACACACATATATATATATATATATATAT